AGTCTTCTTCTTCTCAATTGCTTCCTGGGACACGGCTGTTCGCTTGTATTGGTATTGAGCGTGTACGCGGACACAGGTTGCCTGACCTCGACTATGCCGATGATATCGTTTTACTAGCTTCAAGCTTTGGCGATCGACAGTTTGTGGTATTAAGAGTAAGCGAGGTCGCTATATCGATCGGTTTATCCACGAATGCTGGGAAGACCAAAGTGTTCTTATGCTGCATCCCTACCTATGGGAAGACACCCCTCGAGATTAATGGTTATCAAGTTGAAGAAGCAGACAGCTTCAAATACCTTGGAACAAGTCTGCTGCCGAATGGACAGAGTAAGGATGACATTGTCTCCAGAATTAACGCAGCTCCTCGGGTTTTCTTCAGCCTTCGAAAACGCCTATGGATCCGACAAGATATTCCTATCTCCACGAAGGTCCGTGTGTACCGTGCATCTGTGCGGTCTGTTCTTATATGCGGCTGCAAATTCTGGGCCATGCGCGTGGAAGATGAACGGAAACTGTAGGTATTTGATCACTACTGCTTAATGACTATCCTTCAAATGAAGTACACCGACTTCGTCTCAAATGAGACAGTCCGCACTCGCTGCGACAACATCGCAAGGATATCCCAGGCCGTCCAAAAAAGACGACTGCGGTGGTTTGGACACGTTGTTCGTCGTCAGTCGCACGAGCTCAGTGTTACTACCTGCGAACCGAAACCGTTACCTAATTGGAAACACCGAAGAGGGGGTCAGCTCAAAATCTGGCTCGACTCAGGACATGGAAGTGGTCTTAGTACCTTCAGTATTCGGTTTCCAGCGCTGTCAAAGAGGAGGGATCGAACTGTCCAGGTCTGCTGCCACGGATCGTCACGCGTGGAGAAGTATAGTACGGGGCATCATTGAGGCCGACTAGATCAGCCATGATCGCAGCCACAACAAGTACAAAAAGTGAAGTAAGTCCGTATGCACCTGTGCGTCTGGGGCTCCAACGGGGTTATCCTGGGTGGAGAGTTTGTTGTAGCGGTTGCGCCACCTGAGTTCACACACACGCACTACTAACATCTCCCAATTAACTTACTTCGTCGTCCACTACTGCTGTTCTTATCCCGTATCTGTTACCTACGCTTCAGCTTGTATGAGTAAAGAAGACAGTCGGTCGACCCGTTTCTACTACAATCACTGATGGTGGGTTCGGGCGTAAATCTGAAACTTCAGGCGAATAAAGTTCTTGCTTCAGCGATCACAACAGCCGCCCACCAAAACAGATTGTTTATTATTGTGAGCTTTCGAACTCGCACAGAACCTCTTCGTCAGAGATAGTAGCCACAACAAAAACGAGGCTACGCTTATAGGGGAAACAGGGCAATCAACGACCCGGGACGCAAAGCTGAAAGCGACCGCGCAGGGCTCTGTATGGCAGCTTCAAGTCAATACGTTGATTGATTGATTTCCCACCCGAGGACCAGGTTTTCATGATAGCTTTGGGCCAGGATACACTTCCGATTCCCACTCCTGTCGCAATGCGCTCGGTAGCTTCTGACACATCCTTAACGTATGACAGAGCGTGCCATGCTCTTGGTAGAGTTTCTTTCCCCGACTCGAATGCGTAGGCGTCGGCTTATAAACGCCTTTGGATAGCTGTCCCGCATAAATTAACTGCGAAGATATCGGGTCTCGTGTACTTTTCCTCCAGCCTACTGCAATACGTCTGACTCCGTTTGGAGAGCGTTCTCACTCAGCTTCGTTTGTGAACAACTGACTGGTCGCCGTGAAGACCGAAGAGTTGCGTTGTGTTCGTTGTTCTCCTGTAAACTTTCGTCTCAATTTTATCCTTAGAATTTCGCCTGCTAAGCACGTCAAGGAATGACAGTAGCCGTTTCCTTCCTACCTACCTCGCTCATAAATTATATTTCAAAGGAAGAACGGGTTTATGGTCTTTCCTGACCATAAATTACAGGTCACCGTACTGGCGAAAAAAGACAGGTTCATGTCAGATCTATGCAGTTTTTTCTGGTTCATATAGGACTAGTTCTACCAATAAAACTGAGATCGGGGAGCACATTGGAGTCCCCTTGATATCTCTTATTAAAATATGTTTTTTTTTAAAACTTGAGCAGCCAGTATGTCTCAGCGTAACTAGTTAGCTGACACTAGAATATGAAATATTATTTCTTAAGTATTCTTGACACGAAGTTGTTACAGCAAGACCAAAAAGTTCCTGGATGCTCTGAATCTTTGAGAAGACGTAAAGGGGAGCTAGGATCCCGTCAGCAATATGTTTTCAGACTGGTTATACATGCATGAAATTGTTTTCAGTGCCATCCGTCGCTGCATCCCCGTTAAATCGGATCAACTGGAAGTCATCGATTTTGAGAAATCCTTTTACCGCGACGTTTGCAATCTCAACTTTGAGGGGAAGGTAGAACACCGACTAAGTTCCCTTCCTATGATTTAGCGTACAACTACCTTTATTAGTATCAGCGTGTGTTACCGCACTGAAATCTGTCAGCCAACAGATCAACTTATTAGGCTGGCGTGGTGAGACGAAACCTTTATGGGTAGAAATTGCTTGAAGCTGAAGGCGCCTATCAACTTAAACCAACAGTGGAGGCCAGTTAGCCAACACAGTTCGTCTTTGTGTAGCGACGCAATCAGAAGGTATCTGTGCATAATGCTTGCGAAGCATGATACAGTCTGGGGTTCCAATTAACGGGTCCAGACTACGTTAGAGCTGAAACCTGTACAGCTAAACATGCCTGTCACCAGAATGAAATGTGATCTAGTTATCGGGATGAATACTTGGACGGCCAATAGATTCTGAGATGGAAACGCCGACACCCTTAAAGCCGCCCCAGAAATGCAGCAACCATAAAAAATTTTAGTCTCCCACTTCCCTACCAGGCCAAATTGCATACACTGACGGTCACACTGTGCGACAGTTCGAAGTAGACAAGCGGATTTGTTTAAGACCGGATAACAAAGTGATTTAGTAACAGCCGTAAAACCTACATTTCGGCCATTTGCAACTGCATTTTCAGTTGTCAGACACTCAAACCAACGAAGTCACTCTTTTATGTTAGCTGGCGGGTGAAAGCTCAACTACTGCCGAAGGCGGGGTTTCAGTGTCCCCCGACAGTTCTACCGTCGCTCTCACCGATTTTTCACCACGAGCTTCAGCTAGCTGAAGGTAGACGCGGTGACTATAGCTGAAATATAGGGAAAGTAGACTCGCAGGATCTTTTCCGCTCTCTCATTACTCCCACACCTGTACCCCATGTCAAGACAAAAGTTGAGAAGACCGGAGATGGGGGTGGGCACAGGTGGCTGGCGTGACTAACACTTAAAAACGCGTACTGACAGCACACCTTGCTAGGTGCGCTTCCACGTGCACGCGAGTGCCGTAGAGGAAGGAACCATTGCAGCCTGACTCTCAGTCCGCCAGTCAGCCACTCCACACAACAAGAGACACGCTGGGCCGACTGCGCGGTCCGATTTAACCCGTCAGTTGCCAACCCTCCAAACTTTTAGCTTGGACCGTGATAGCTCCAAGCTCATCAGATTGATTATAGTGAGGAAAGAAGTGCGCTGAGGATCGACCTCACCGTCTTCCCCACTGCCAGCAACAAGCCGCCGCCTAGCTGATCGGCGAAGCCATATGCGCACGTCAAATCACGATCTGGCTCCCCTGACACACACTACAAACCACGACACGACAGCAAATAAAAAATGAAAGCGGTGGCAGAGATCCCAGCTCACAAAGTTTGGACCTCAGTGTCACACCTACTAGCATACATCACCTAGCCACAGCCTACACTTGCCTGGGAATTCGCACAACAGCCACCTGGCTCGGATCCCATGGACTTGGAGTGCCAGAAAGGCGATATAGAGAAAGAGCCATTACCGTCTGACCCTCAGTTCGCCAGTCAGTCGCTCCACGCAAACACATAGTTGGCTGAGTTCGCGGTCCTCCGTTGGCAACCTTCCAAGCCACGGCTTTTAGCGCACCGTGATATCTTCAAGCTCATCAGGTTTTTTATGTTGCGTTGTTTAAGTGCGTTGACCTGTCGACCTCTCTAGTTCTATTCCCAAGCCCCAGCCGTCTTCCGAACCGATCAATGAATTCGTGCGGGGAATGAACGCAGTTACCGATAAATCTAATTACCTCGTCTACGCGTACTACGTACACGACCTGCCCCCAAACACAGGCCGTAAGATTTTACACGAATGGGGATTGACCGGCTCATATCCAACAGATACGTGAGTACCAGAGACTAGGATCACGTACACATTAGAGGAGCCACATGGAGAAAGAGCCAAGGATCGTACCTCCCTCTCACATGAGAGGTGCTGATTGCAGACAGGTTTTATGTGAAGTTGGGCGTAACCGTGTGCGATATAGATGTTGGTGAGGAGGGATGTTACAATGTCACGCCTGCGGTGCTCTACCGCAGG